ATTTACTTGTGACCACGCTGTGTACACACACTATTGTTGAGTATGTTCAGTCCGACCGGCCAACACTGCTCGACAAAATCGTTACACGTCTTGGTTGAGACCAGAGGTAAACTTTTGGAGAATATTTTATTCATTTCCTTACCATGACATTTCCCAGCTGATTCAGTGTGTTTGATGGGTGTGGTAGACAATCGGTATGTTCCTGGACTGTACCACATGTGTTTTATAAGGATTATATCAGAGAACTTGCAGGCTAGTCCATTCTTACAATCGTTTCATATGTATATGGCGGGAACATAAAATAGCACCATGTCCCGTGTGACCAGCGAAAAAAACTCGAAAATGGTTTTCAGGATCTCGTCCCTACAACGCACAGTATCCGAATAACATCCTATATGAAGTACAGATCAGTAAATCTGTTGGAGAAGGTGCTTCTCTGCATCATTAGAAAACCACCCAGGCCTTCATTCAAGTGAAGACTGAATATGGACGCTATGAAAAGAAATGAACGACAGATATTTTTGATATCTAAGACGACCCTGACATTCTGTACTCGAGCTTGTTGGTGAGGTAGCAGTACTCTTGATCATAATTTATGGTGAAATGATCTCAGATTGGTTAGATGTATTCTCATTCTCATCATTTGTGGTGTGACCTGAAGTTTTTCAATAACTTGATGAAATTTTCTACTGATGACACAGCATCGGCAAAGCGATTTAGTGGATTCGTGTTAACAATTTATCGATTTTAACGGAGGAGCTCGGACTGCCACTTCTGGTTGGTTGGCATGTTTTTAAAGTTACCTTTTATTCAACTCTAAAGACAGCTACAACAGATCTTTGAATGTCCCTACACTCACTCATGCTACCAACTGTACTCGATCCTGTCGATAAAATGGCAGTAAAAGTCATTCTTAATATGAAATTAATTTAGGAACGAAACTGAACATAAATTCAAGCTTCATATGGTTTATAAATTGTCCAAAATGTACACTTACTCTTTTCAATGAGAATCACGAACAATGTATCCTCCTTCTCAATAACAGATATGTGCACACGTGAAACACGTAATGGATAATACCGGAGCTACATGTTGTCAGAAGTCAACAAATGTTACTTTGTAACATTAGAAATGTTCACAAAGTTCTTAACTTCCTAATTTATTTTGGATTATGTTTATTACATAATGTGTTAATGCTCCAATGCCCTTTTTACTTAGGTGTGTACATTCGTGTGTGCATCCCCTGGTCACTTTCATGTGAAGCCCTATGCATGAGCACATGTACTGCTTTCCTCGTAAAGAAACATTGAGTTGTAGACAAGAACAGTAAACATAATTTATTGTTAAAATAATCTAAAAGCGTAATAGTAAGCTTTTGTAATAAGATCACGCGCTATATCTGTAATTAAAGAAACAAATACCCTGTACCACAAATACAAATAAAAACATGCCATAGAATGTTTAGTTTATATTGTGTAATTATTTGGCTTTTTCTCTGTGAATTGATCACTTGCATATGTTATTGACTTTAAGGTTGCGTACCCACGTGGGACCGTTTTCTTGTGTGACTGATAGAAAATTCCATGATATATTTACAGCCACGTGCCCTCCAGTGGCACAGCGGTATGTCTGCGGACTTACGACGCTAGAAACCGGGTTTTGATACCCGTGGTGGACAGAGCACAGATAGCCCTTTGTATAGCTTTGTGCATAATTTCAAACAAACAAACAATTTTTGAATTGAAGAAACATTTTATCTATATTGTAAATAAAAATTTCGCCACATCTTAAGACTTATCTTTTCACCTGTCTCTTCGGAACATATTCCTATTCTACAGAAAAATAGCAGTGACTTCAGTTGTGTCAATTGCTGCTTATTAATAAAGCTTACTCTTATATAACCACTAAATAAACCCCTTGTATTTTTATGCAAGGTCCGGCGTCTTTCAAATATTTCACGTGAAACACACACACCAAGTGGAGATCTAATGAAGTGTTTAAAACAAGTCGCGCATCTTTATCCCTTCAGCAAATATCCTCATAAAAATATTTATCTCCATTCAATGAAATATCTACAATTAATATTTTAATATATTCCCCCTAAAATAAGTTCTATATTCAACTTTTGTTGTACCATGTACTGGGCAGGGTTTACTGTATCGTCTGTTATCTTGCGACTGAAGTGTTTCAAAGAACTAACTAGCCACATTGCTGGGTATTTTTCAGTTACCACCCCCCCCCGAACTTTGGATCCGTGGGTACGATATCACAGTGACGGTTAAATTACACAAGATGGCGGTGTTCATTAAGTATCTTCCCTCTAGTATATCAATTGAAAATTAGAGGCGGCCAGCGCTGATACTTCTCAACGAACGACATGTACAAATAATGATGCAAGTTGGAAGAATAACAAATGTAAGCTTGATTAACCTATATTGTTTAAAAGCTTCTGGTGTCTAGAGGATGAATGGTACTATACAGAATGGTGCTCAAACAATATAGGTTAATCAAGCTTACATTTGCTAATTAATAACAAGCTTAGTACCATTCATCCTCTAGACACCAGAAGTTTCTTACAGGATGCTGCTTAGCTTATTAATTAGCAAATGTATTTTTGCGCATTAAGCATTGTTATGGAACTTTTGAGCCCAGAGAAAGACTACAGAATGGTATTAAATCCAATATTTATCACTGATATTGACGGTATCCCTTTGGTATGCTTATGTTAAGTTATTTTATCAAATTTGGAATTCCTAACTAGATATGCGTATTTTTAATATTATTTCAACTTTTTGTTTAAAAGCCTTTATGGTTCATTAAACTTTTCAACCAAAAAAATATCAAATTATGACTGATTAAGGTGTAACTAAGTAGAGGAAACGTCATATATTTCATCCATCTGGATTTTAAATATGGTACAGTTTGTATGATAATTATACAGAAGGCAGATGCTACTTACAATTGGAAATGTATATCAAGTTGCCCAATTATTCACCTCTCTATGACTCGCCGTACTCTACAAGTTGCCCAGTTATTCACCCCTCTATGAATCGCCGTACTCTACAAGTTGCCCAATTATTCACCTCTCTATGACTCGCCGTACTCTAACCTGATTGGCAAGATAATGTAGAAAGAGGTGACAGAAATGAAAAGAAAAGCATATATTATCTTCGTACTTCTATAGCCATTTTTTCTTTGTGTATAGAAGGCGGAAGGTATTTGAATTTGGGGGGCATCGATCACTGCGCGCACCTTATTTGCTATCTTAACAGTGACAATTAAATTCAAAACTGAAACGGCGATCTTCTCTGATAGTTATATACAACTATCTTTTTCCCCATTCGCCACCTAGTTAAAATTGAAGCACGTGCCCTCAGTGCCCCCCCCCCTTCCCCTGTTCCGCCAACTATGTTTTTGCGAATGTGTTGGAGAAAAGGCGTATGTGTCAGATCATGGTAACTAACTCATCTGTTTCTTAAAACTTCCGATCTTCCAAAATATTTTACTCCGCTTTTTTCCCCCTAGACTTATAGCCACTAATAATTTTATGGTTCACTTACTTGAAGTGATACCTCTTTTTGTATTAAATTAACGAAGCTGCAATCACCTCAAAAGTAACAAATTCACTTTCCCAGGTTAAAATATCTCAAACTTTTCTACACTGCTTTGGTTATTACCTACATTCTGACAAGAAACTTGCTCTTCTGTGAACTCCAAGGTCAAAACCTTGCCCTCAGAAAATATATGTTGTTTTTTGTTTACAATAAATATAATACACTAAATCAAGCTTTATTTTGTTACGAACAAAGCACACTCTAGCCAGTTCTTCCTCATAACAAATATAAAACATTGGTTTAAAATTTGTCCGTGCTACAAACAAGCACGCTGAAAAAAATAACATGGTTGTTCGAGTTTTCACTTGTTAGAAACCAAATACACTCCTGCCAAATAACATGGTTGTTCGAGTTTTCACTTGTTAGAAACCAAATACACTCCTGCCAAATAACATGGTTGTTCGAGTTTTCACTTGTTAGAAACCAAATACACTCCTGCCATTTACCCTTCAGAACAAAAACTACACGAACAAAGCATATAACTTTTCCTTTATAAAAATAGAACATATTGGTTCAAGTTTTCCTTTTTGTTACAAACAAATTAAACTGCTGCCACTTTTTCTTCATGACAAACATGACTTACCGATACAGGTTTTCTTTCTAAACAACAAAGCCCTTTGCTGCAACTCTTTCTTCACAAAACACATTAGTTCGAGTTTTGACACTCAACTTTTTTGTTTGTTTGCTAAGAACAAAGCACAGTGCTACCACTTTCCGTCATAACAAATACAGCACATTGTTTTAATACAAACAAAGCATATTGTTAGTGCTTACGTCACAACAGGGAAAGTTATTAACTACAAATTGTCGTTTGGTAAACAAAACAGAGATATGAGTATATTTGAATTTTCGATCATTACAAACACTAAGATTACTGCTCAGAAAAGAAAGTTAATACTTAAAACGTATCTAAAAATGGACGCCAAGATATTACAGCTCACAAGTTTCTTGGCACTGAAGCTACCATTAAGACCTGATTTTAGACTATGCATGGCCAGTTTCTTTAATACGTTGTTCTCACTTTTTACTGTTGTAAAATTAGTATGAAACTTTTGTAAATAGCCTCGTTCCGTTTCGTTTCTGAAGTTTAGACGTAATGATAAATCGGTGAGTGACGCTAACTTTATATTAATTTTAAGTATTCATTTAATGGGTTGTTGTTTGTATTATCACTTTTAATGGTTACTTGCATTACAAGTTATTGTTTTTTTTTCTTCAATGGTTTTTAAAGTGTAAATCATAATACCATTTTAAAATCTTTTATTTTCTCATTTTATTAGATTGCATTGTTTGCTTTTATATCAAATTTATTTTACTAGTACAGCTTTCAAAGTTTTACTAGAAACGAAAAAGGATATTGTTTTATCTATAGATGATTTATACTATTATTTTGTCCACAAAAGTACGATTATTTATATGTGGAAAATAACATAAGCGTTAACCCAAGAAATTCTTCTACTTCAGTATCATGACCTCAGGTGGGGCAACAATAAGTTTACGGACTTACAACATTAAAATCAGGGGCTCAGTTCCCCGCGGTGTACAGAGTACAGATAGCTCATTGTATATCGTTACGCCAAAAACATAAAACGACAACTGCAGCCTTCCTAGTGGCTCAACGGTATGCTTGGGGGTTTATAGCATTAAAATTAGGAGTTCAATGCCTGCGGTGAACACAGCAGAAATAGACCATTATCCAACTTTGGGCTAAATAACAAACAAAACCTTCTTCAGTTACTCAATAAATTATTAAGTATTCGATAGTGTAAGGGGATTTATCTGTTTGGAGATAAAGAATGTTAAAAGCAGAACTCTAGTCAAGAAACAAATATCTTTGTCTTACTTGTAGCCAGAAGTCCGACAGTTGGTATATCTTTGTCTTACTAGTAGCCAGAAGTCCGACAGTTGGTATATCTTTGTCTTACTTGTAGCCAGAAGTCCGACAGTTGGTATATCTTTGTCTTACTTGTAGCCAGAAGTCCGACAGTTGGTATATCTTTGTCTTACTTGTAGCCAGAAGTCCGACAGTTGGTATGTGTACGTAACTACAACGTCGATTCCCCGCGATGAACACTATGGAGGTAGCCCATTGTGTAGTTTTGCAGTAAGAAAACAACAGCTCGGCTACAAATTAATGAAAATCAGTTTGTCATTCTCCTTACATGTGCTCCCTTGAATGTACGCACTCCTCCTCCCCCTTCTTATGTATGTATATACAGTGTCCGGAAATCATGTTAATAAATTGTCCACTTTTGTTACGGAGATATTCAAAAATGTCAATAAATTTTGTAACCTAATTTCTGGACAGTTTGTTTGTTCAACTTCGCCCAAGGCTACTGGAGAGCTATCTGCGCTAACTTTCCCTAATTTGGAAGTATAGACTAGAGAGAAGACAGCTAGTCATCGCAAACTCTTGGGCTATTCTTTTACCAACGAATAGTGGGATTGACCTTCACATTATAATGCCCCCACAGCTGAAAGGGCAAGAATGTTTGGTGGAACAGGGATTCGAACCCGCGAGTCTCAGATTGCTAGTCGAGCGCTCTAACCACCTGGTTATACAGGGTCTATTTCCGTACAGCCGAATGTAACATATAGTGTAATGATTTGCATTATTTGACAGGAACTAGTGCGCTATCAGCTTTAAACACAGTTAACCCTAAAAGCAGTTATGAGACTATAGTATAACTTCTCAAGGTTTGAACATTTGGCATCGTTAATGGCACTACTCGTTTTCTAGCATATGTCACCGTATGACCAGCATAAAAACAATTATAAATTCATAGAAATATAGTTTCAACTAGTAAAAAACTAAAATAATAAAGTGTTTCCCCGTACTCTCTATAAAATATAGAGACTGTAGGATTGTTTACCCTGAAAGCTTATAAAGTATACTTATAATCTGTGACACAGTTGCTTGTGTTACAAATTGTGCTCTGAACTAGGCCACCGTCAACGTGACAATCAATACTGCTTATATTTCTCAACGTGTTGATCAATTCTGATCACTCCAATCGATACAACTTTTTTTTGGTATAGTTTTCAATTATGGCCGCCATTCGTCAACATTGGGATGAGAGAACAATTATTTCGCCCCCGATGAAGAACGGTATATTTATTTGAAAAGTGCTCGGATTAAAAGGTTTCATATTTTTGTTCTTCGTTGATTTTTGAACTTGTGTGTTTTCTCAACCTCGTGAAGGGTTACATAACATTAATGTTTAAGAAACTCGCCAAGTTATTCATAGTTGAAGCTGCGTTTACAGGCCATCAGCTACGCGATGGCCTGGCATTAATTTTCTTAGTACGTTCTTTTTCGAGATAAAGCACTACAAGACTTTTCAGCTTTCATTAGACTTTTCGTATACTGGTAACGTTAAAAATAGCAACAGATCGATAATTAATAAACGGCCAAAGTCCACAGCCGAATTTGGCTTCTAAACGTCCTGATGTCAAAATAATACTTGTTACATGGTTGTCTCACTTGAGTATTGGTGCCATAGTACTTCTGCTGACTTCGTTATTTATTTTTCGTTAATAAACACTGTGCTTAACTGGCTCAATAATAGAAAATGTGCGTACAACCAAGCTCATTCCTATACAACCTACATAATTACATTGTTTAATCAAATACTATTACATCTGGGTTCGTCTTTCTTTGGTCTGCAGATAACTCATTAAACCGACGTTTCACTAGACCTACAATCCTGTATTGAAACTTTGCTTCTG